TTAGTACAGCAATGGGTCATGATTGGAATGCATTTCTAGGAGACGTTTCGGTAAAATCACGTTTTCATGAGCAATGCTGGTGTGTAATGTGATTTAAAACAAATTTACCGGCTATGGCTGTCAAATTCTTGCTGTTGCGCATACAATACTTTTGAGGGGGAGAGATGGCTGCCATCTTATCGTTTCTCACAAATTTCTTGCTGTTAGCGCAGCAGTTGTTCATCTTTGCGAAATTGCAGTTCCTTAGCTGCTAGCGTAGACATTGTTCTATGCGGACCTGGAAGCAGCTTTATTGTCCACTGCCACAAAGACTGGAAGGGTAGTAGCATGTGCTATGACTGGAGGTCAATATCTTGAGAAGAAGGACAGAGAAGCTTGCTGAACTCCAAAATAATACCTAAAGCGAATGCTGTTTTAGTGCCGAGAAAATCAGGGAAGGTTGCCAATGTGCACCGTCTGATGTGGCTGTCGACTCAGTAATGGAAGGAATCCTTCCTCATCAAATAGTTGATTTTCTGCTAACAATCTAGCATCTCACACTAGCATCTTTCCATGTTTGGCCCACTGGTATAAACTGAAGCGGTTTGTTAGTTTGTTCGGTTAAAATTGCTTCCCTCATGTGACATATTTCGTTAGGTAGACCAGACGGTATCCCTCTTCTAGGCATCACGGTTAACCCTCGCTGTGTTGTTCTATGTGTTTCATTCTCCAATTGCCTCGTATTGTGGGGTGACCCTAGGGGGATCAGTTGGATTGCACATGTCTCGTTGATGTTGAAGTCGTGGAGCGTTATCGCAGGTGCTATCCAAAGGGGATTGACGATAAGGCTGATGCCTCGTAGGGCTAATGTTTGCTTAAGTATTAATGAAATATGCCCTGTACTGTTATCTTAAATTGCTGGATCGTTTTCACCCACTGAGGTTGGATCGTTTGGTAGTGAACAACCAACGATATATTCGCTTGCCTGAGAAATGTTAGAGTAAATTATGCCGATCCATTTTTCAGCACAAGTCAATCCACCACTCCGACAGAAAATATTTCAAAGTGCGCGACGACATACGCAAAGAAAGTAAGGAAAAAATTGGTTGCCTTTCAAGCCTGCTGTGCCCTGTTGCCAATGCTTATTTCACTCATCACGTTTCCTGGCTTCTGCGACTTCTCTACTCTTGTTGATGCAGTTGCAATAAAATTGCTCCACTACCACCCATAATGAACAGACATGGAAGTGGACAGAGACACCATCTCGATTTATTTTGTCATGATGACGAGCTCGGACTTTACTCCCGACTGCGTTGCAAATCGCCCCTAATGTTACTAAGGAACCGGTAAAAGTAAGTTCTTGGTCAATAATCCCATTTCCGTGTCTGCAAAAATAGGGGTGACTCAACCACACTGAGGGAGGCGAAGAATGTAATTCGTTTAGCTAAAAGAGGAAAAGGAGTGGATGAGTAGGAAGGGAAGGAATGGGAAGGGGGTAGATAAAGGGGGAAGGAATGCAAGAAAACAAAATGATGGAAGGCTATGCTACCTTTGCACAAGATGAGTTAATTCAATACATTTTGATGATGCAGTGCCGCTTTCTTGATTTGTTTATTTCTTCCATCAGTACATCCATTTATTTAATCCGTTATTCACCTCTCTTTATCCACGCAACGACTGCAAACACGGGTTAGGAAATTAGATGGAATAACTGCTAGCCAGAATGAACAAGAAGTTGGTTCGTTTACCGTGGGCACACACATCTCTCGTTACATGTCCATTGAAAAAGGCTACCATCTGAGACAATGGCTGGGATAACGCACGCAAACAAGGAAGGGGAAATGTAAGAGAGAAGAAAAGAGGTTGCAAAGATAAAGAGGAAGAGAAATGTTATCACTTACTCCTAATTTTCACTAATCCTAGCCGAATCCAATACTTCGGTCTTTTGACGTGCCTGGAAAGAAGAGAGAGATGATGATGAATAAAAGGGTACAGACTGCAAGGATGAGCAGAAGAGGCACGGAGGTGGTAAGAACAAATAGAATTGCGGAACGGATCATAGGGCAGAGTAATAGGACGAGAGTCACAGCGGTGGTCAGCATGTCTCGTGTCATTGTGATTGAAATCTTCCCCATTGACGAGTGTATGATACGATCACAGCACCTTACACATGCAGTGTTGCATGATCAATGGTGTCGTGTCTATTGTCCAAAAAAGCAACAGTTGTACTGGTTTAGATTTGGCACCAGTATTTATTTTTTATTTTGTCCCTCCTTCTAGGCTGAATATCTAACATTACAGAACATGATGAAGTGAACTGCTTCTAATACTCTTTGATTGAGAAGAGAATATGTGTTTATTTGGCACTTGTTCAACCCCACATGCTAAAATACTCAAGCTCTTCAGTCTACAGGACTCCGCTCTTTGGCTTGAAATTTCAATTTAGGTTTGATTTGTGTCTGAGATTTTGGACGTCGATACGATGTTTGGTTGCAGCTCTAACCATGACTATGGCCACGGCTTTGCAGTTTCCTATGATTCGAGAAGAAATTGCATTATGCCTTCCTGCGTCCTAGCATACTCAACAGATCGACCGAGCAAAGCGCATCAATGAAAAATGAAAAGTGCTGAGTGGTTGGAGGACGCGAAATCCATCTAGAAGAACTGTTATCCGGATAACTTTTGCGATCTATCATAGCATTATTTCAAGGACAGAAGCCATATACCGCGTGCCCTTCTCCAAATCTTTTCATCCTC